GCACGAGCCATAGAATTGGTTACCAGTTTCGGCAAGCACTGTGTCTTGATAGCTGTTTGCGATTAGTCAGATACCTGTCTTGGGACGAGGTACGAGAATAGTTTACCTATAGAAGCCCACGCCATAATAGCCTTGGTTCGTTCCATATGCACTCAAAGCCAATGCCTGGCCGTTGGTACTGGCTTGACCGAACTAAAGGACATATGATCAAAAAATATTCTCATGCACCAATCACAAGCGTACCGTGTTTTTCAAATTGACGTTGTATAGCGCAAAGTCGTCTTTGTGTACACGTAGGGTCCCGGCCAAATCATCGGTGCCTGCAGTGCCAAGAGAGCTCGAATGAGTGATCGTAACGGTATTGCTCGTGTAGCTGGTGGTATCGGAAGTTTGGCCCATGATCTGTGCACTGGATATCAGCACCACCTGCCGAGTATTATAAAAATGCACCTACTGTCGTCTTGCCTGTCCGATTGATGTATACTTGTTCCGAGTAAGTACCTAAAGAAATTCTATCAGTCTCGATAACATTTTGTGACAAGGAAGCTCGACTTGCCCGCATAAATGAAGATAACTTGGGTAGTCCCATCGTTAGGGAGCGCGGTGACAGCCGCTTGCACAGTGCTGTACTCTCCGGACTTTGTTCCACTACCTCTCACGACGACAGCACCGCTGGGCGCAGAGGTGCGGCTATCTCGCTTCACAGCGGGGGTCGCATTCACCAGGCTAGTGACAAAAAGAACGAGAAGAGAAAAAAATGTTAAGCCTGGGAAGCGAAAGAAAGCCATGTTTGTGGTCTGTAATACCGTTCCCGCAATCCTTAAATACTGGATTGAAACGGCGACTCTGACTAATCTTGTATCATGCGAATAACCGAGCGCAAGGGCCAAAGTGTTTGCAGTGTAAGAAGATTCCGTTCAACCGGAGAGAGCAGATGTTCATAACGTTCAAATTTTTCGGTGTTACCAAGGGACAGGTACTCGGCCAAGCAGGACGCGGCCCGGATGCAGATCTATTTTTGGTTTACGGTCAACTCTGTCTTAAGCCATACCTGTCTAACCCATAGCCTGGGGCGTAGGCAGACCTCATTCGCAGGCAAATGGGGTACATAACCCATAGCATTTTCAGAAAATCCACTCTGTATAAACCTATACTTTTAGTCGAATAAATTTCGGAAGCGGACAACACGCAAGTTCAAACTCTGGTGTAAGCACATATTTAGCCTCCGGGAAGATGTCGGGATAACCCAAACATAGTTTGACGATAAACACGTGGTGAGCTTTGATCGGGCTTCCATTTCTAGGAGATATGTGGCGCAGTTTTAAGCGCAGCAGCGGCGCAAGAGAACATGAGTCAGAAAGTTGACACATAAGAGTCCCGACCGGTAGAGATGCGTCCGAGGCTCTTCAAGTCGTGATGGCTGTTCAGAAGTACGTCGCAGAGATGGATAGTTCATTTGCACGGCAACTGGAGATGGTTCGTGCTTCATTTAGGAGGCAAACTCGACTTGAGGGTATGCAGGAAATGCGGAACATCGAAATCACCATTTTTTTCCCTCGGAAATTGTTAGATATATCATTCACAGCTCGTTAAATAATCAATTCCATAAGTGCTGGAGAACACCCCATGACGACCTCTCTGGGACCCCATACTCTGTAATAACCCATATCTCTGAGCGTCGACGGAGAGGTATGGGTTATTACAGAGTTGACTGTATTCCAAAATGACCGTTTAGAAGGACCAAAAATTAGCCAAATAGGCGTCGCACCTGACATGAAGGCTGACTGTAATATTCCGGATTTTTACAGACTTTTTTCCTCTCTAATTTTGCGTTCGTTGTGTTCGTAACGACGTTTGTTACTTCGAAATTAGGCACCACTCTTGCCGAGTTCACGTGCCACCGCGTGTCACGGTCCGGTGTGGTGTTGGTACATCTGCCAGTTGTTCAAGTTGAACGTTATCATTGAAACTAGTCGTACAGTTTACAGACCTATCAGGTACACTATTCAAGCTCAGCTGAGAGTCAAAATTACTGGCTTGAACTATCTTCAGCAGTTCCTCAGGCTCTCTTGTGCAAATTCCGTTGATTCTGTGACCCACAAATCTACTACCCCTCAGGCTTGAGCACAAGAATTCAACATAGCTTTCCTCGCCAATTCGCTTTCACTTCTTGGCTGAAGAATTTTGCTTTTTTGCCCTCTATTCAGAGTGGAAAGCATATAGACCCTTCGATGATCCACTGCCGGAAATTGCGGATTTCATCCCAAGCACATGACCTGAAAGGCGCTTCTCCAAAGTACTGGATAGACTGCATTTGCTCTCGCGCACCACCATACGCTGCCTTCATGCCTTAGACTGAGATAGTCTCGACATTTCGAAAATGCACCTATGTTGACTGGTGTAGTTATATGCATGTTCATCATCTCAGCCAACGTTCCTTACCCTTGAGTCAGCTTCGCGTTTTCGATCTATGGGATGTAACTGAGGTCGATAGAAACTTCTTCCAAGGACACTCCCCACGAAACCCCGGATGGAGTCTGTCAGGTGTGTCCCCGATGTCCAAACGACGCTGGTGTGTTTGAGGTGACTTCGTGTTTCACGGATGCTCTATCACTAAAAATACTACGAGCCGCGCTCCAACCTATGGGTAGATCTTGCCCCAAAGCAGCAGACAGATGATCCCTAGGCGCCATAGAACCAATTCTACGGTCTTACGGAAACTCCGTCCGGTATCCTCATGAAAAGCCGAGTGTGGTTCGAACTCGTTCAGCTCGATAGTCTTGGTTCAGCTCGACTCAATAGTGATTACCGCCACTATCATCGCACTCGTTACGGGAAGTGGGGTCCCAGGAACTATCCGCATCATATGGCTGTGGATGGCGCTTCAGTAGCTTTCAAGTTCCCCACCACCACCACAATGTCCATCTACTCACCGGGGACCATTACTTCTGACTTACATGATCCACGAGACGTCTTTACGATTGACCCTCGTTACGGGAAGTTGAATAACGACATTTATCCAGCTAACCGACCGTACTTCGACGTGCCTCCACCGCATATAGCGACGAAACCACATCGGAAATTACCTGGTCGCTCGGTCTATCATGCAATAAGCAACATCGTTGGGTTTAAGCAGAGGTTTAGCCTCTTATTCTGTAAGCCTCATTAGCCTCATTCGCCTTATCTCAGTCCTGATAGTCATCAGTCATCATAACTGGGGGCGCCCTCGCTGGATTCTGTCTGTTCTGCGCACGAACCATGAATTTTGCGTTGATGAAGAAGTACGCACCACCAGGTAATCTATAACATAGTGATCTTCAAAAATCTCTATCGAATGATCCCTGATCCGTTCCTTAGCTCAATGGTTCTGGTACAATCAGAAGACATTCAAAGCCAATTATGCGTTACATATATATACCGCCGTCAGTGAGTTGCTAATCACCATACTTTATCAACATCAGTCTGATTGGGTAAAGTTGGCGGAATATTCTCTCTCTTTCAGTTCCTTCCAGCAATTCGACGTGTAGGTTCTGCTTCGATTTTGAACACCGCTCATACTCATCTCTTTCTACATAAAGCGTGCTGTAATTGTACACCGTATAAATGGTACGTTTGCTCCTGCAGAACCAGCCATACATATGCTTAACTCTTCGCCATTCAGGCTACTTTGTCATCATACTCTTGATCCCATCTAATGTCACCGGCGCCATTATAGGCTACAGGGCATTTGGCGGGGAGATAAACTCTCAGTCGATGTATTACACCCTCGGCATACTCTCCTCCGGCTGCCTTATCATGGGATTATTTAATGTCAAGAAAAACACTAGGGAACACCGCAAGTGGATGCTCCGTACGTATACTTACCCCAGACGTATCTATTACAAACTACTCATCCACTGAACAATTAAATAGGTGGCGTCGTAATATTTAGCGTCGTCATCACCGCACGTCTGATCACTCTAGCCGCGCGAGAAATAGTGACTGACATTGGCAACTACTACTCTGTGCGTACGAACACATTTTGATCTTCTCAATTCATAAAAGCTCATCAGGTATTCCGATGTGATGAGCTCCGTTCCATCGTCACCAACATCACTACAGTCCAGCTGCTCTTCCCCACATGCGCTAGTGACAGCGTTGACCTCTCTAGCACCTTCGTTCCCGTCAATGCTGACGCCCACGGCGATGCACTCCACTCTATCGCGGCCACTCGTGTCGTCCAGGGTATGGCTCTCTGGTTCGCCCTAATCATCCACATCTTTGGATGTGAGGCATATGTGAGTCCTTCCTAAAATATGCTCCAACTCATTCAGCTCACACTCGGCATAGCTCCAAATGACGGAAGAAGCGAACTATCAACGTCGTGGTTTCGTTCTCGAGCCAAAATCGGATTTGTCTTTGAGCCTGAACGATTTCCCCAATAGTACACTGTAGTGCACGTACATTGTACCTGCTTGTATTAATACGATGTATCAACATGCGTCATGGTAGCATCGTCGTTTCGTTACCGGGCGGTGGCTATCATCTAGGAGTGCCAAAGCGGACGTTCCGGCGCTTTTCATAAGTACGTGCATGCGACTGAAGTTCCTCTGTGCATTAGAGTTGCCAGCACTCTCAGAGATGAAGCCCGTCCTTGTTGAGCCTCACCCGCCCATCGAATTCGCTTCTAGTGTTTTATCGCCTTGTTGTGCGGTCCTGATGTTCCCTCACCAAATTGATCCTCATAACCGCCGAGCTCACCCAGGTCGTCATCGATGTACTAGTCTTCACATCCCAATCGGAGGCCCCTAGCTTTGCCCTCAGTGTTGACACTAAGTGGAACCCCCACTGTGTTTTACCTGGAACAGCAAACGAAACTAAACGGTTAGAGCCCTAGCCCTGGTACAAAACCGTAGCTTACACCTCACTCCCCCCCTGGAGGTTTCGTGCGCAACCAAGTGTAAACGAATCTGGACACGGAACTCTGGACGAAAAAACTAATAGACGGTGAGCCAGTACAAAGGCACTACCAGGGTTCGAACCTGGGTTATGGGAATAAGTTCAGAGCCTGCAATCAGAATCCCATGTGCTGCCACTACACCATAGCGCCTTGCCCAGACGGGGCACGTTTTTACTTCCGGATGCAGGCCAACCTCCGCCTCACCAACCGTCTCGCTTCGCTCCACACCCGTCACAATCGCTGTCGGCTACTGAACTGATAGGCCAAACTGTAGGCAACGATTGCTTGCTCGACTGGGGGAACAAGGATGACCAAAACTGGAATTCGAGGGTGAGTGCATTCTTGTCTTGCATCGGTGTGAGTAAAGTACGTAGGCAAACAAGACGTGAAGCACTCACTTATTACTTTTCTTCCAATGTTACATGAGAAAACGTTTCCCCCTCCCTACTCCCGCCCGCGTGACAGGTGCTGGGTCTGCATTGGAGAACGATAGCCAGTGATTGCTGGAATAGAGGAGCACAAGCTGGATGCAGCTGCTGATTAGGGTCGACAAATATACGTCTTCCTTCCGAGCAGATAAAATAGAACCGAGTTTATGGTGAGTGTTGAGTTTTGCCAGCTCGATGAGGGAGAGTCGAAAAGGATACTAAGCTCCACTGAAGTGTAAGACTCGCTAGTTCGATCTGCTCAATCTCTTCCATGGACAGATGCAAGGGAGCCTCTGTATCAGGCGCGAGTCGGGTTTGATTTGAACGGTGACCTGCCTGCCGCTCCATGATTCTGTACCCAAAACCTGATATCAAGTTTATCGAGTACGACGAGAATGTCTACCGTACATCTGTAGACTAGTGCTAGCGCCAATTATCGCATAGTGGCCATATACAGAGGCGAATGGACAATCGGGCGAATAGGCAGGATGGAGGCGATAGCCACGTCGGCTTTGGCACACTTTTCACTGCGACATTGATAAAGCGCTGTTTAACGCCTTGAGTAAGAATACACTCTAAATGTTACTACAAGGCAGCTCACCATTGTGTCGGTAGGCAACCTTCCACTTCAAGCTAAGAGTCTACGATGCTCTCTAAATTGCCGTCCATTACATCCGTGGTAGTCTGCTGCTTGGGTCGACCGAGCCATGATCGTTGTTAGTTCTTATACACTGTTGCAACGTTTATCGGTGGTTTTTTTACGAGCAGACATGACAAAAGAATGACAAAAAAGCAAGGACTGTTATATTGATAACGAGGTCGACGTGGTAGGCGCTAAAGCGGTCAAGTGCTGACTAAGCCTTCCATCTTCGGACCGTAACTTTGATCGCCCCGCCTAACTTGAAGGCTACACTAATACCGACACCAACATTTCCTCTACTGATCCTTAGTAATAGCAGACTCACATCAGATTTTTCCCTTGTACATCCATGTTTGGTGCTTCTACAGAGTCTCTTACTACAGCAATAGCGTCTCTCCCATCCACCATCTCATTAAAATTCTCAACGAAATCTTTCTCCTAATGCTTACTACTCTGAGTCGTTGGCACGAAAGCTTTTAAGATTTTTCAAATATCACAGCGGAATTCTGGCTTATCGCGCGCGTATGCCCGTGGTGGAGGCGCCGTAGTAGCCATCTGTTATGGGTGTCCGACGCTCGTGTCGCCAGGACATTATGGCTGTAGGATTTGCAGAGACCCCATCTCGCTCTATAAGATAGCCTTGAGGTGGATCGGAAGCCATTACCTCGATATAACAATCTTTTCCAGCTGTTACCCTCTATCCTTGAAGGAGGACCTTTCGGAATGAAGATGGCCTGCTATTCTTTCTGATATTCAAAATTCGTAGGGGGGGAACCTGCACAAAATTCAGACAGTGGATAGCGACGGGTCTGAGTTTCACGTACAGTGTAGATCTAGTCCGGCACGTCTAAATTTTCTCAACTTTCTACGCAGACCGCATCTCAGATAGCCTTATCCATATGTATCAGCGGCTCGAGCTTAGTCACAGATCTAATTGGCTTTGCGCAACGGTCAAGTGGGTGAGCTACATACGTTTCGATTGCGTCGTTCAATTCCAGCACGAGTTTTCAGGATTCCTGTCACGCACAGTGCGGCTGCGGAATGCTGATCATGCCGTCGAGCAAGTGGGCCAAGTATTTCGTCGTCGCAGCTATCGGATCAGGACTCGATGACGTTTACCTTTCACCGCCGTTCCATGGGTTTGTTTCCGAGTACATCACGAGCAGGCCTCATCAGTTACGGAACACCCTAGCATGACGACAATGCGAATTTGGGGGAAGGATTGACATTGGGGCTCAAGAATTCTGCCCAGAGTTGACGCCACAGAACCAAGTCGCGTCTTGGTCTGACTCGTACTCATGATACAGTTCGCATTGGACTTGAGAAACACGAAATGCTTTTGTTCTGGTTTCCACCTCCCTCGGACTCGTTTTGTTTTCGCACTTGAAGTGTCCCGTCTCTTGCACCATGCTAGGAAAAATTTAAAAATAAACTGGAATTCAGAAGGAAATCCTCTTTCTTCTTCCCTCTGCCCACACATTCCGCAAACCACTCTTCTTCCATCCCGCCCACCGCCACCCCACCGCAGCGGAAGAACTTGTCAATCTATTCTTGAACGCGGTGGCGTTAATATATCGTTGCACTGCATTTTGGCTACCGGGGATGGAGGAGAGTGGAAGTTGGAACACGGTTTGCACCGTCGACAAGGGAGCTTTCTGTCTGATCGGGATGTTGGTGGGGCTTGAAGACGTTAGCTTCGATTGCAGCTGTGAAGAACTTTCCCTCATGTCTGATTTCAGTGCTGTTCTTTAGGCTTCTCAGCTTCACAGCTGCACGGAGGATTACTGTTCTTGGGTGAAATACCCAGATAGTCCGTATTAAGGTCCTCCGAGGTTCGCGTCAACAGTAATGTTGTTAACCAGATAATAGCTTCGAAATGATACTTCTTTATTTATTTTTCTACCCGATAGATGCCTGTCAAATTCGATGATTTAAACTGAAGACTGGCACATTGGTGGAGTAGCAACGATCCCACTGCTGCTTTCACCGGGACAATCATTGAGCATGCTCCATTACCGATAGCCATGACCTTCGATGGGATGGTGCTGGCTCTCGCTGTGGATGCTCAAAGAATATCGACGTTTCGTTCTACTCAGTGAAAAACCTCGCGTTTCCTTGGCTTTTCGTATCGTCAATACTTCGTTGAACAAACAGCAGTATCATTACGAAATGGAACATGTATTAGCTGTGACTTCTTATGCAGGGTAAAATACACAAGTATAGCAAAAAAAATATATTGATATGATGAAAGAACACATGGTGCTCAGGAGGTAGCAGTCATATACTGATTTAAAAAGGTCCACATAGTCAACAGCACCCGGCATATGAGCGATCCGACAGCATGCAGCATGAATAGCTAGGTAATCAGGGCTGGGTAGCGGCAGAGCTTCTGGATCAGGCGTGGTGTAGATGACAACGCAACTTGGGAGCCATCTCAATGTTGCTAAGGAAGCGGACACAACGACATACGTATTCGATTCTTCCTTCCAAGTGGTGTCAGGAAAATGGTTGCAGCCAAGAGATTCAGGATAAATTCCACAGCTTGAAGCCACAACGCCGGCTGGTTGAAGTAGTAGTCCACTACATAACGTGAGAATATTGTCCAATCGATGAATTCTAGTACAGTTGAGCCGTTCTGTTTGTATACCACACACACAGCCCAGATAGAGGACACCGATTCACGCGAATAAAGTCACCATGAACTACGTATATGAATCCAAGCATCGGAACATACGTTGTCAGATGGAAATTCGGCTTTCTTCCTTAAATCCGAGTTGAGACCCTCCAGAAATATATGTGCGCCCTCGAGGGGTTCTGCTTCATGTTCTGGGTGAGAATTTCTGACAATTTCTGGCCCAGATACTCGAACATGTCTGTTTTGAGAATGAAAACCACCACGAAGAAGAGCCTATGCGGCCGTGAGTACAATAGAGGAGATGAAAGGCTCCTAAGGAACTGACCGCTTTCTTTGCCATGCTATAATTCAGAGCGGATTGTTGGAGAATGTATCAATGGAACTCGGGCATATTATTCACATCCAGTCCTGAGGGATCATCCGACAGAACAGGTGTTCTGATCTCTGTGGTAGCTTTGACTGCGATGCAGTTGAGATACGCAGTGTGAAAGTATCATATGGGCGGACTCACATAGGCGAAACAAGCCCTGTATATAGTAGTTGCCCAGAGTAAGTAAAGTCTCATCGGTGCTACATTCATTGATGGATTTTGCCATATGCTCACTGGCCAAGATAGATAGAGCCTCTATAAGAGCGTATCCTAGCACACGGGTACAGAGGACGACAGGAGGATGTCTTGGATCCGGGAGGGGAACGAGATGGGCACGAGACTCGAGGCTTCGAAGGCAGAGATCAAGGAGTAAAGTCACTTGGTTGTGGTAGATACAACATGGTCCTAGAATCTAATAGCCCGGTGCCCATTAAATAAGATAACAGTGCTCGACGACGATAAATGATAAATATTCAGAGGTCATGCAGTGCGATTCCATTCTCCAGCGTCTTACTCGCCCATCTATCGATCCCAACCAAGCTTCATTTCTCGCCCGTCTTACACACATCAGACTTTGTGTAACAGACGTCCTCGTCGACAAGCCATGCCAGTTTATGAATAGTATATTATTCGATGTGGTGTCTTCAAGATGGAGTAGTCATGTCCTCAGGTTCGTTGTCATCGGCCTGACACTAGACATGCTGAGGGCTGAATATTGATCGTAGAGCAGATCGAGACCTTAAAAATGTTCAAGAAGGAAGGACTCGATATCGATATTTTTGTTGTACACGTTAACGTTGACTCTGGAAGTAACACTTTCGAGCCATATTACTGGGTGTAGTAGACCATACATCATTGTTTTCCTCAAGTGCCTGAAATACAAGTTTATGTTTCTAAGGATCTGCGTCGAACTTGTTTCTATAGCGAAAGTGACATACCATCCGTACTTCCAGAAATTTTGCGTAGATCGACTAAACCTGTCGGGACGAATCTAGTGAGGGCGGTAGAGCTGTGATCAACAATTACAGCAGCTTCACCATTAAAGAGAATAAAAAGAGTGCTAAATCTAATATTTCA